GAGGAGGCAGATAAACATTCACAAAAACCATTTTGCAAGCATAAATATCCAATATCACTAATGTATCTGCCACCCCGGGTCAAAGATAATCTGAAGGATGGCACAAGGCATTGCTTTACTGATAAGGATGGACACTCCTGTGGCAGAAGAGTACGTGGCATGTAATGCCCTCTGAATCCATGAGCTACACAGGGCCAATACCACCTCTACCATCTAGGTGGGTCTTTTGTAAAAATATAATGTGAGGCCTATGTGGCTTGAGATACTGGAATACCAACGCCCATTTAAATTTATCGTTTAAGCCTCTAACATTCCAAGAAACAATGTGCAGCTTATTACTTATACTCAGACCGTGGGAATAATATGTAACAGGAGTATAGGACCTAGATGAGGAGAATATGCATGTTCTCCCTGTACCTGCGTTGGATTCTTCCAGGTACTCCGGTTACTTCCACACTCCAAAGACATGTTGGTAGGTTAATTGGATCCTGTCTAAACTGACCCTATTATGCATGTGAATGAATGCAAGTTATGGACCTTAGATTGTACGCCCCTTGAAGGTTAGGGACTTATGTGAATGTACAATATATTTATATGTAAAGCGCTGCGTAAATTGATGGCGCTATACAAGTACCTGAAAAAATAAAATAAATTTCCCTCTAAGACATAAGGCCACACCATGTGAAACCAAGAGCGGTGCAGGTACATAGAGTAGGGGGCAGATACCGCATAGAGAGGCACATAGAAACAAACCCACAAATAAACTCCATGCTGTTACACCAAATAAAAAAACAAAACGAAACTACTGTGACTAAGTATACAGCTTAGTCACAAAAAACAAAAACATCAAAATACTGAAGCGTGACAATATTAGTGTATACTTCTTATCCACTGCACAAAGCCCACATGCTAGGTAGCTAGGAGCTCCGCACAACAGGAAGTTCATGATTTGATATTTATCATCCAAAGAGTCCATGGATGTGTCTTTAAGACTGATCCAGGAGGGAAGCCAGCATGGCCTTCCTCCCACGGTAGAAGGTGCGTGACACAGGGAAAAAAGAGCAGCTCAAGTGTAAGGCCTCCAGGGACATCTGAACAAGAACCTTACTTGCATTGGCAGGAGGCCATTTAACAGTTAATCACTGTACAAGAGGAAGAATAATGTAGTTCCCCAAAGGAAGAGAAAACATGATGCATATGCCACTCCATCACAGGGAGTCTAGCCACTCTTTGTAGTAGTGAACCAAAGAACTTGGCAGACCCCTGATGTTGCACCCAAAGTCTGCTGAGGTAGAGCATATTGTATTGCAAGCCGTTCTCCACAGCCTGCATCAGACCATCGTAAAGGACATATGCTTCTTCTGAGTCTCTGCAGAGAAATCTGGAAACACCATGATCCTGTCATTCTCATACGAATGTTACGAGTCTTCACCAAGATGGTATCTTGATCACAAATTTAACAGTCTCACCAGAAAGGGCCAAGGAGGGAACCCCGGAGGTTGCCGTCGTGTAGAAACTCAGCCCTTTCCCCCACATAAGCGGGGGGCATCTAAGGCATGAAAAAGGGGGAAGAAGAGCTCTGCAAATACCGTTGAATGGGGATCCTCGCACCTTTGGGCAGACGACCGTTCTGATGTTATTGCTGTGCTGCCTATTTTCTGCATCATTCACTATGTTAGTTTTAGTGGATACCATGGCCTGAAGATCAGAGAGTTTTATGAGCCAGTAGTAGTATCCACCACCGCGCCAATATGTTCCTCAGCCTCAGACATGTGATCCCTGATCTTAGCTAGGTCACGTCTGATCAGCATTCATTCCGTGGCCAGGTGGTGAATGCACACCATCGGTGCCACTTTACAGTTATTAATGGCATCAAGTATGGGCTTAGTGAATGGTGGAGGAGAGCCCACTTCAGATGCACCGTCAGATGCTGTCTTTTCCATCAATGCAGAGTACTTCCCTCCTGGAAAGCAGGATGGAGAAGGAAGCATGGTGGAGCAGTAGCATGTGACCCAGCTCTTTTCAGGATTTGAGGCCACGGGTCTTTAGGAGGCTTCTCCTTCCCTTTCACAGCCAGCCCAGCACCAATCCAATTCCAACCAGCAGCAGGTACTCAAAGAGTTGGGAAACACACCCTGAAATTAGTACCTGGTCATAAATATAAACAGGAGCTCCAGCACAGAGCATCCTCACTGGCTCACATTCCAGCCATGCCCCCAGAGAAACATGAATTTGGTTAGGTAATGAGATTCTACATCACATAAATTTCTCAGATCCTTTCAAAAGGATATCTCTGAACCTGCAAAAACTCAAGACTTAGAAAATGATGGCCTACAAGAGCAGAAGACCCAGAAAAGGATAAGGAGTCTGCAATGAACAAAGAATCTAAGACTTTAAAAATTGAGCCTGGAGTGGATGAATTTCAAAATTATTCTGTGAAAATGTAAATGGTAAGGGAATCCACAGTACATTAACTCAAGTAGGAATAGTTCAGTATAGTGCTTGTGTAAGGATCTAGGGAATGTCTTATTGGAACACATTAGACTATTCCATTGGACCATAACCTGAATTTCACAGCTTATGCAAGTTTTTTTTGACCCCATGCTGTAGGTACTATACAAGTGTACTTAAAGTGGCCACATACTCTTTTGGCTCATTTCAGATCTTCCATTTTAATGGATACAAATGCCCAACTCTCAGAGACAGTTTTCATTGCCAAGCCCCCTTCAAACACAGGTAAATTCTGTCAGCCTTCTTTCTATTTCTTCCCTCTTCTTCAGCTACAGGCTAGCCCATTCTCTCATCTCCTGCTTGACACTGTTCATTTATTTACCAGAAGAAAGACTAGTACAGTGAGAACATATATGCCCAAGGTACACCAAAAGAGTTACACAATATATTGAACAGACAAAAAAGGATTTCAAAAAAGGTTCATGTTGTACTACATAAGATGCACAGTATTCCAGTCTTTAAAAAGGCTTTCTACAGTGCCTTGAAAAAGTATCAATCCCTTGAAATTTTCCACATTTTGTTATCTGAAAAGTGTGGCGTGCATTTGTATTCAGCCCCCTTTATTCGGATACCCATAACTAAAATCTTGTGCAACCAATTGCGTGCAGAAATCACCTAAATTAGTAAATAGAGTCTCCATGTGTGTATTTTGATCTTAGTATAAATACATCTGTTAAGCCCTCAGAAGTTTGTTAGAGAACATTAGTGAACAAACAATATCAAGAAGGCCAAGGAACACAACAGACAGGTCAGGGATAAAGGTGTGGAGAAGTTTTAAACCAGGGTTAGGTTATAAAAAAAAAATATCCCAAGTTTTTGAACATTTCACGGAGCACTGTTCAATCCATCATCTCCGAAAATGGAAAGTGTATGGCACAACTGCAAACCTACCAAGACATGGCTGTCCACCTAAACTGTCAGCCGGGCAAGGAGAGCATTAATTAGACAAGCAGCCAAGAAGCCCATGGTAACTCTGGAGGAGGTGCAGAGATCCAAAGGTGGGAGAATTAGTGACAACTATTAGTCGTGCACTCCACAAGAATGTCCATGGAAGAGTGCAAGAAGAAAGCCATAAAAAAGCCCCATTTGCAGTTTGCAAGAAGCCAGTGTGGGGGACACAGCAAACATGTGGAAGAAGGTGCTTTAGTCAGATGAGACCAAAATTTAATGTTTTGGCCTAAAAGCAAAACGCTATGTGTGGTGGAAAATTAAAACTGCACATCACCCTGAACACACCATCCTTGCCGTGAAAAATGGTTGCAGGATCAAGTTGTGGGAATGCTTTTCTGTAGCAGGGACAGGGAAGTGGTCAGAGTTGATGGGAAAATTGGAGCCAAATACAGGGCAATCTTATAAGAAAACCTGTTAGTCTACAAAAGACTTGAGACTTGGGTGGAGGTTCACCATCCAGCAGGACAATGACCCTAAACATACAGCCGGAGCTATATGGAATGTTTAGATCCATGTGTTATAATGGCCCAGAAAGTCCAGAGCTAATCCAATTAAGTGTCTGTGTCAAGACTTGAAAATTGCTGTTCACAGACACTCTCCATCCAATCCAACAGAGCGTGTGCTATTTTTGCAAAGAAGAATGGGCAAACATTTCACTCTCGAGTGTGCAAAGCTGATAGAGACATATCCAAAAAGTTGGAGCTGTAATTGCAACGAAAGGTGGTTCTACAAAGTATTGACTCAGGGGGGCTGAATACAATTGCACGGCACACTTTTCAGATATTTATTTTTAAAAAAATTTTGAAAACCATTTATCATTTTCCTTTCACTTCACAATTATGTGCCACTTCGTGTTGGTCTATCACATAGAATCCCAATAAAATACATTTATGATTTTGGTTGTAACATGACAAAATGTGGAAAATTTCAAGGGGTATGAATGCTTTTTCAAGGCACTGTAAACGTACTCCATTAATAAGCTATGCTGACTAGTATGGAATTAAGTGTGTGCATCGCTATTCACATCACCCAAAATCAACACACAATAAATCACTAATTTATGCTACTAATGCTAATGCTACTACCTTGCATTTGCTTAGAACTTAGCAACTTCAGATAGGGTGAAACTAGTGGTTCTGATTATTTTTTTTAACTTTATATTAGTTTTAAAGGTTTATTGCTGTCTGCATTGACAATCCTGTAACTAATCCAACACAGGTGAACCCATTGGTTTGCCAGCATTTCATCTCAGTACCTGGTAGCCATGCTAACTGTATCTCTCTGCTTGCCTTCACCAATACCTTTTGAGTGACCCCAAAATTGAGCCTGTGACCCTTTCCAAAACATTATGAAAAGCCTGATGAAACTGGCAGAAAGGCATCATATAAGCTTTGACTAAAATAGGGTAAACGTAGAAGGAAAATATTCTTAAGAGTCAAACTGTGAACAATAGTTTAGTTTAAAAAGGTGGGGGAAGGAGGCTGGAAACACAAATATAGAAAATCCAACATTACTGGAGATGCCATTTCTGGGTGCGTCCGTCCTGTAGCATATGCTGGGTTTACATCAACTGTCTGGTCATCTCTATCACACACAAGTAGTAGTCGTCATCACCCTGCAAAAACAAAAAACATAAGATTGTAAGGCAGAAAGTAACCAGTTTCTATGTATAAAGCCGCAACAGATGCCGGTACTATAAAATTGCTAACCAATAAGATGCAATAATGATGAAATCTTTAGATGCCACACCTAAAGACTGGATAACAATACTTATTAGCTTAGTGCGGAATCAAAGACAGCACAACAGCATGTGGAAGTCATTCACAGATGAGCAAAGGTAAACATGAGCAAAAAAGTGCCAATTACATATAAAAAGGTCTGCCAAAATAGCTGGTGTGGACCACTGCTCTTCCTGTAACTTGCACATATTTTATATAACTGCTATTCAGTTTATATCTGGCGATCCCCTTTACCATCCATTACATCCACACAAGCAGTATTGGTTCCTCACTGTGCCAGATTCTCTGCTTTGTTATAGGAAATGTTCCAAAAGGATTTCCCCAAAATACCAACCTCCTGTGGTTGTGGATAGGGAAAGCAAAATTTTGTGACTATGTTTCCAGCTACTCCATTACATAGGAAAGCTACAGAAGGAGATTTCCTGCTGTCGAATGTAATGAATGGGATAAACACATTTGTGTACCTAAAAAGTAGACCAAGTGCTGAAAATAGCACAATTGTGGATCTCAACTTTCCACATTCCCTTTAGACTCCACTGTGCATCTCAAGACATCAGTTTGGGGAAAATGACTGCCTTCATAGGAGAACCTTATGCAAGTTACATTTACAAATAGATAACAATGCTCCAAACAGGAAGAGATTACAAGTACACAGAATACAAAATTTAGTACAACATAATAAAGTTTTTAAATGAAAACCTGACTGGCTATTTAGGGTGAACAATTGCCAGGGTAAAATCTGTTAAAACTAAGATGTGAAAAGGAGAATAGGTACATTGTAAAAGTGAAGGGTCAATAGAGTAATCTGAAAAAGCTGTTTATGGTAACTTCAGACCTATTAAACAGTTCAAGTATGCTAGTAAAGCCAAATTTATCAACATTTTGAGCTTCAATAAAGGCAAATTACCTTTGTATTATCACACTAAAAGAGAAGGGTAAACATTTTTCAATTTGCGCAAACTACCATCGAGCTCAACCAGCTTATTCACACCAGTCCATTTTTCAAAATGCTCATAGATATAACCTTGTTCATATGACTGGGTCTCTTCTCGCTCATTTTTCAACCAAAACACAATACAATCTGGACTACTGCAATAAACACAGTTAGCACTCAGTTATCCTACCCTTTCAATCATTTTCTCTTTAAGAATCATCACCTATTTTTTTTTTTACATTATTCGATTCCTGATGGGACAAAGTATGCGTAGTGCCCTGTGACACTAGCTACAATAAATCAGGGTGCCCCTCCTGGTGCATAGCCACCAACACTGCAGCTCAAACTTGGTGATGAGGTTCCATCTCAGACATCAAAATGTCCCACAAAGAAAAAAAAGGAAACCAGTTCTGTGAATTTTGGTGATTCTCAATGTCAACAAAACAGCTCAAAACAATACTGAAAACATAACCAATTAAAAACGAAGAGTGAAATTGAGGAAGATGGAAGCTAAGCAAAAAATTATAGACCTCCTTTTCTATTCCAAGCAGACACTGCAAACATGCAACACAACCTCAAAATTGCCTAGTATGAAGGGGGTTACAACCTGTGCCAGGCTACTGGTGAATAAACTATTTCGGGCTAAGTACTAACCATCCACTGGTCATGTGACAAGGCAAACGACACATAACCTTTCCCTGGTCCGCTCAATTCAATCTGCATGGAGTTAGATTTCTTCTGGAAGGACAAGAAAAAGCACTGCGTATCCCGTTCCGGGTCACAAGAAGTTGGATTCCTTACGCAGAATTTACTGCGGCCACATCCAGATGCGCGCTGAACTAAAAATGTGAATCAGACAAACATTAGTCAGACACATGTTATATTAAAGTGGTTGTAAACCTTAGACAATAAATATGAACAAACCATATCCCTCTATAGTGTGTGTTTGTCTCAATTAAGAGCACTATGTGTAATTTCTGTCTGCTGCTTTGTTCCTCTGCTATCAGCATGAATCACTTCAGACAAGTTTTCCTGACAAAGAAAAAAAAAAAAAAAGTGACAGGAGGAGGGAGCTCCAGCACATAGCCTGTGACTGACAGCCTCAGCTCTGTCCCTGTGAGCAGTGTGAAGGAGGGGGGAGTGTTTGTACCCTCCTATCAGATCTCAGAGCTCTCCAGATCATAATTTCAGCTCTTTGCACCCTTTTTTCCCGACAGCTCTGACAAGCGTTATAAGATCTGGACTTTGAAAGAACGCAGAGAAGGATGCAGATAAACAGATACAACCTATATAGGAGGGTTTGTTTTCATCTCTGTGTATCACCTGAGGATAGTCACTTCACTGGGTGTATGTAAGGGTTTTCAACCACTTTAAATATGCTGTTAGTTAGAACTAGTATGTACATTATGTGCAACGTTTTAATTCAGATATTAGAGAATACTGGAAATGTATAACTTGAAAACCTCAAAACCATTTATTTATTTTAAATTTGAACAGTGAGCAGTTAGAACTTCAACCCCTGACAAAAAGTATGGAATCACAACTCTTGGAAAATGTTTCAATTGTTTAAATTGTGTAGAAAAAAAACTAAATCACAGACATGCCTAAAAACTATTTTCATTTAACATTCCAACCTTCTGGCTTTAAGAAACACTAAAAAAAAAAAAAAAAAAAAAGAAAACTGTAGTCAGTTGCAACCGTTGTTACAGATCAAGCAGAGGAAAAAAATATGGAATCACTCAATTCTGAGGAAAATATTATGGAATCATGAAAAACAAAAAACTATAGCATAACACTAGTAATTTGGTGCACCACCTCTGGCTTTTATAACAGCTTGAATTCCCTGAGGCATGGATTTAACTATCGACAAACAGTGTTCTTCATCAATCCGGCTACCACTTTCTCTTATTGCAGTTGACGGATCAGCTTTGCAGGTTGGAGCCTTGTCATGGACCATTTTCTTTCATTTCCACCATAGATTTTCAATTGGATTGAGGTCTGGATTATTTGCAGGCCATGCTATTGACATTATAGGTCTTTCTTGAAGGAACGTTTTCATGGCTTTTGCCCTATGGCAAGATGTATTTTCATTGTGAAAAATGATGTCATCATCACCAAAAATCCTTTCAATTGATGGAATAATGATGCACATCTCCCCCGTACCTTTACCTGATATGCAACCCCATATCATCAATGATTGTAGAAATTTGCGTGTTTTATTCAGGCAGTAGTCTTTATACATTTCATTGGAACGGCACCAAACAAAAGTTACAGCATCATCACCCTGTACAATGCAGGTTCGTGATTCATCACTGAATATCACTTTCATCCAGTCATTCACAGTCCATCATTGCTTTTCTTTAGCCCACTGAAACCTTGTTTTTTTCAGTTTAGGTGTTAATGATGGTTTTTGTTTGGCTTTTCTGTATGTAAATCCCATTTTCTTTAGGTGATGTCTTACAGTTTGGTCACAGACATTGACTCCAGTTTCTGCCCATTTGTTCCTCATTTGTTTTGTTGTGTATTTTCTGTGTTCAAGGCATATTGCTTTAAAAGTTTTCTATCTTGATGTTTTGATGTCTTCCTTGATCTACCAGTATGCTTCCCTTTTACAGCCTTCTCATTTGGTTTTTACTTGGTCCAGCTTTTAGACACAGCTGACTGGGAACAACCAACATCTTTTGCAACATTCTGTGATGATTTACCTTCTTGAAGCTTTAGTCCTCATGAACATTTTTACAGCTGCTGTTTTTGGCTTTTGACGTTTTTTTCTACAGCCAGTAAACTCCCCAGCATGTTATCCTATGTGTCCATGCACACATAGACTGTAATCAGTGTTTTTTGGCTGGGAAACCCCCCCCCCAGAACTAATGGGTTTCCAGAGGAGTTTTTTTAGCTGTAAAAACACTCTATCACTAAAAACATGGCAAAACACAGCAAACTGGCCTTTTTCGGACTTTTGAGCACAAAAAAAAAAAAGCTAAAAAAAAAGTGGCAAAACGCTAAAGCAAAAACGCTAAAAAACTCATGTTTTTAATGTGACTTTACACAGCTAATGTTACCAGCGTTATTAAAACATTCAGTGTGCATGGAGCCTTAGAATCCTCTCCTTTGACATCTCTCATGTTGGAGCCATGATTCATGTCAATCAGCTTGGTGCATAAGCTCACCAAGGTGTGCAAGCACTCTTTTTTTAAGTGCAGACTAATTATCATATGTAATATGATGCAGATGTTTGTTGTAGAACTGCAAAGTACATGGTGATTCCATAATATTTTCCTCCGAATTGAGGGATTCCATATTTTTTTCCCTCTACTTGGTCTGCAAAAATAGTTGCAATTGACTAGTTTTCTTTTTTTTATTTTTTAAGTGTTTCTTAAAGCCAAAAGGTTGGAATGTTAAATGAAAATAATTTTGAGGCATGTCTGTGATTGTGGCGATTCCATACTTTTTGCCAGAGGTTGAATAATGAGTTTGGGTCAATTTAATTTTTTTTAAATATTTGTTTTTAAACTGAAGTTTTATCTTTTTTTTTAAAAATATATAGAAAACATTCAATAGATAACAAATGACTCCTAAAGCAAGTGATTACTACAAAAACAGCACAGCAGAAGCAGCTTCTGTTCAGACCCAGCCATTTCTAGTACTGGCCATAATAAATATGTACAAAAACAATATACATTCCTTTTAATAGAATCAGAGAAAACCTATCCTGAGAGAAAGACAGACTACCGATGCTCCTTTTGAATAGGACAGTTGCCTGGTTATTTATCTGATCTTCGGCCTTGGAAGTAAACCCACGTTTGTATCTTTTACCTACAGGTAAGCTAAGAATAAAGCTTACATTTGGTAAAATAAATGTCTCCTAAACGTGCACCGTTTAGGAGATATTCGCTCTTTTTGACAGCTGGCGCATGCAGTCTGAAGGAACGGCATACCCATGCCGTTTCTTTAGAGCTCTGTACCGTGGCCCGAGACTCCTCCATGCATGCACGGGAATGACGTCATCACGGCTCAGCCAGTCAAGCGGCCGGAGCTTGTGAAACTGGAAGGAAGACCGGGTGAAGATGGAAGCCTCAGCAGTGGGGACAGCACGCTGCTGGAGGGCTTTGTTTTAAAGGTAAGACCTTTATAATGTGCTAGTATGCATGCATACTAGCACATTATGACATTATCTTGCATTGATTTTTTTTTTCTCAAGGTGCGGTTTACTACTGCTTTAATAAAGTCTAAGTCACTGACCTGAAACAAGCATGCAGATCAGATCATAATGCAAAACGTTTTGAGCTTTAAGTGATACCCTATATTAGCCAGATTAGGCACTTAAACACAAATGTTTCCGCATTAAATGGATTGCTAATATAGTGCAAGACTACTCGAATACCATCCAAATGCAAACAGAGCAAGTCGATCATTTATATATAAGACAACATACTGTACCCGCTGTGTTAGAGCTGACTTGGTTGGCACTGGTAATGCAGCAGTAGTTGAAATCTGTAGGACAGGTGGAGGAGTAGTTTGAGAAACAACTGGTCCTGGAATTTTCACCCGGTCCCCAGTAAATGGAGTATTTTGCAACAACAGTAACTCTAGAAAGCAAAAAAACAATTGTAGGTTTAATATGTACAATATTAGCCTTTCAGCTTAAAATAGAGTAAAGTGTATAATTCTATTTTAGTCTAGCAGCCAGCTTCCAAACAACACTATTCTTGGAAACACGCACATACATTTTATTTTATATCCCAACTCCTCCACCCCCCCAGTGAGCTCATATTTTAATAAGTATTTTAAGATTTCAATACATCCAACGCCAATGCTTTTTTCTTCATTTTAGATAGAGTAGCTAATTAAACCAATCAGTTTTCTTGTTTTGTCATCCACGGATAAATCCCTTCAACACCAATAAAAAAACTTCCAGGGGGTTTAACACTTACCACTATATGCAAAACAAAAACAAAACAAGAAACACTATTTAACGACTTTAGAACCACCCCCCCCCCCTTTCCCCACCCCAATAGGAGTGCACGTTTTGAACCAAATGCATTTTGACCAATGAAGTCTCTACAAATAGATTTTTTTTTTTTTGAAGAGGAGTGGTGAAATATAGGGCTTTAAATGTGGGAGAATATTGCATACACATTCGTTTTCCATACATAGGTTTAAATTAGGAAGAAAATGGGACAGAATAGGAAAGTGAAAATGCACATTTTTCCTAGTGGAAAATGAATTAGCATTACACCTAAAGATCAATCCCAAAGTTTCCAGAGTACAAAGATACAACATAGATGGAGTTCAGTTCTTACATAAACATTACAAATCGATCTTTGTAGGCTGGAGATTACTAACACACACCTTTTTATATTACATCATGATCCACAATAGTATAAATGAATCAGTCTGTGTAAATCCATTCTGTACTACCAACACACTGTTATTGTAGTTGCTTAAAGTAGAGCTTTAGGAAAAACTTTCTTCATTTTGGCTAGAGTAAGGAAGGAGGATAACCCTAGTCAGTTTATTTTTTGCCATTTGTGTTCCACTGGGGAGATTTACATTCAGTTCCTGTCCCATAACCAAAACAGGACATGAGAAAATCTCTGCAAATTAACCAAAATTCCTTGGGAACCCATAACTACACTTCCCCCTATATTACTTTTCTGGATACAACCCAAAATTTGGGAGCAATACAAACCTGACAGGGGCTCTAATCCACCTCCACTCCATCCAAAATAAAAAATACAAAAATAAAAATGTTTTGCCTTTAGTTATACTTTAAAATCTCAGTGATATTGTGTGTGCTTGTGTGAGCATTTGTAACTCATGAGGTTTATCTCTGTACCAATACGTGAGATGGATTTAAAGCAATATATTTACATACAGGAACTGGACATGCTGTGGAGCATTGCTGGGGGCAATCCAATACACTTCCACCATAGACTTCTTCCTCTTGCTGGTCTGACTTACTGCAGAATCCTAAAAGTAAAAAAACAAAAAAATCAAAAAAAAAAAAAAAAGTTCCTATTACAGAGGTTACAGCTTACCAGTTATTGACTTTACCTGTTGACAGCTCTCATATATACACAAGTACAAATGCACCAACTACACTTTTCCAGCTTATATTTACTTTCCAGAGTAATGTCAGCATCACACTAATTATTTTCCACAGCTAGTTCAAGGAACCATTTCTCTTACCACATATGCAAGTAAAGCCGCCGGCTCCGGCCATGAACACAGGCTGCGGGTCAAGGCAGACACAGTGTGGGAAACATCACTAGAACGTGGCTCTGCCTGGGCAGAGTCCACCTTGTCCAGCAGCCCGTGTTTGTGGCTGGTGCTGGCGGCTATACTTGTATATGCACATACATCCTTAGTGTTGGGCATAACACATGGAAATGTGAGTGCACTTATTATAATTTTTTTATCATAAACAGATTGTTTTACACTATGAAGCTTTACTTTCTGTTTTTGACATGTTGGCAAATGGTCTGGAACGGTGAGAACCTCACATTCCTGGTTTGCAATTCCAATAATGAATGGTTTGGACTCATTAACCTCTCTTTAGATATTTGAGACTGCATAGGACTCCAACAGGACATGAACTGATTGTATAGTGTATAACACCTCTTATAATCACAAATCTTTATTTTGTTGTTTTTTTTTTAAGCAGAGAGTAATTTAATTGAAGTGAAGGACACTGGGTGTTTTGATATCATATTTTGAACAAAGGATTGTTTTACAATTTTATTTGTATAATATATTTTATATATGAAACACCAAAAATTAAAATACTTTTTGCAAGAAATAGAACTTTAAAGGAGGTATTAAACTCAAAAAATTAAATGTATTATATTGCAGCTTACCAATTCTTACATGTGTTAGCTGCATTAGTTTTCTTTTTTAGGTTTTTTCCCTGGTGATTTGGCCAGTAAATCTGTTACTGCATTTTTCAACTTACTTTAACAGACCAAGCTGTGCAGACAAAGTAGAAGTTAGAGGGTGAATTACAAACATGACACACTGATGGGGTGCCGACAATGGTCAGCTTTTATTCAGTTATGGTAAACCTTTATCCCAAAAGGAAAAAAAAAGGTTTGCTGTAACGGCTTATAAAAGGTTACACCCTAAGACTGGCCATAGATGAATCATTTCAGCTAGAGAGCTGAAAAAAAAAGAAAAAAAAACCCATGTATTCACAATTGCGGTGGATAGAAGTATACTCCATGCTGTGCCATTGTATTCTGACAGTGGACCTCCTCTGCTATCAGAATACACTGATAAGCGGCTAGAGCCGCTAAGCAAATGTTTTTCAAAATTCCTGTTCAAATTAAGTTGACTTCTGTTGAGAGGGAACAGTTATAGCTGGATCAAAATTCAACAAGTCCCTACTGACCTAGCTGAAATTTTGACCCATCTATGGCCAGCTTAAAGCTTCCCAGCAGGTCCCAAAAACAAAAAGCAAAAAAAAAAACAAAAAAAGCAAAAAAAAGAGCATAAAAAAAAAAAAAAAGTTTGTTTCTATTATAAAATTTTGCAAACAGGTAATTTTTTCTCTTTCACTAATGTTCGTTGAGGAGGCTGCACTGATAGGCTGCACTGATGAGGTGGCACTAATGAGGAGGCGCTGGTGGGCACTGATGAGGCATTGATGATGCTGCATGATGGGTACTGATAATCAGTGCCCTGATTATCAGTACGGATGTCCACTGTGACATTTGCCGGTTATCGGCAGTACTTTCCTCATGCTGTTACAGCATGACGAAAGTGCTGCCAATAACCGGCAACTGTATTTTACTTTGTGATCTGCTGTGTCATTGGACACGGCTCATCATGTGATAAAAGGCCGCTGTGATTGGCCTTTTACCTAGTGATGTGATCAGCTGTGTCCATAGGACACAGCGATCACTGACAGCGCCGGGTGCGCGCCGCTGAGGGTAAGTTCTGAGAGGACGTCATATGAGGACTGTCATTCGGCTATAGCGCGGTTGTAAAGTGGTTAATAGGAAAGCAGAGTGAATAGCAGGAACACCAGGGATGTCACACAAAAAGCAATACAAAGAGAAGACACTTTTCCATACATGTACATAGTACAGCAGGCACATATCAGGAATATGAAATGTTGGGTTTACATATTCTTTAAAATGGTTCTAAAGTGAAAGTTGTTTTTACCTTAATGCATTCTCTGCAACACTCCCTCTAACTGTCCCCCTCCCCCCATCCCTAAACATATAGGCTCCTCTTAGGCCCCAGAGCTGTCCCGGCTGCAAATCTTTTCCCTTCGCTCCTGGTCCTACACGAGACTCAGGCAGCAGCGTGCACTATAGGCTCTTGCTGCTGTTAGTCAAATCCAGCGAGTACAGAGTGGGGGGGGGGTGGCTGAAACACGCTGTGTGTGTCTACGACACAGCCCAGCTCGGAAGCGCACCTACACAGGTGCCCCCATAGCACACAGCTTACTATGGGGGCACCCAGAGAAGAAAGAGGGGGGCGCTGGTGGTGGGGGACACCAGAAGCGGAGGTAATGGTAATGGACTGCTCTGTGCAATACCATTGAACAGATCAGGAAAGTATAACAACATTTTTTAAAAATTATAAAATAAATATCACTTTGAATCTTTGTGAAAACTAATTGTACTGTATACCATCTGAACAAACTATTGAATCATATCCAACAGGAAAGCAAATGTTGTAAACAACACTAATTATGAAACTATTTTGTAACCAAATTACTTAAAAATTAATGAGGAAATCTGTATTTTGTTTATTATGCTAACTTTCGAAATGCAAGCAGCCTAATAAAAATGCACACAAACCAAAATATCGATAAAACCTTACCTGTACAGTGCCACAAGTCAGAAGCTGGGAGACTGCATCATCAATTAAGGAGAAGGAGCCTACTGCATTGCCTTCCAAACGATTGGCATCCCTTGCTTGGATAAAGAATCCAGCAAACTCAGGACCAGATAAGGTGACTGAAATGCAAAGGAAATATGAACTGCAGTACAGAACAGCAGTACAGAACAGTAAGTCGCTGGTCACACCGCTGCGATTTTAAAAATTGTGTGATTTGTGTGCAATTTCAGCACTATTTCTGAAGACTTTATTGCTATCAGCAGCACATTGGCTAAATGGTTTTCATGTCTGCCTGGCAGTATTAGGGTCATTGGTTCGAATCCCAACCATGGCGCCACCTGCCTTGAGTTTGCATTTTCTCCCTCTGCCTGCGTGGGTTTCCTCTGGGTAATCCGGTTTCCTCCCACACTCCAAAGACATGCTGGTAGGTGAATTTGTTCCTGTCTAAATTGGCCCTAGTATGTGTATGTATGAATGTGAGTTAGGGACCTTAGATTGTACACCCCTTGAGGGTTAGGGACTGATGTGAATGTACAATATATATGTAAAGCGCTGCGTAAATTGATGGCGTTATATAAGTACCTGAGATAAATAAATAAAATGTGAATGTCAGCATCTCCCACACTCAAAAAGATATGCTGGTAGGTTGATTGGCTCCTGTCTAAAATTGGCCCTAGTAGGTATACAGTGGATATAAAAAGTCTACACACCTCTGTTAAAATGGCAGGTTTCTGTGATGTAAAAAAATGAGACAAAGAGAAATCATTTCAGAACTTTTTCCATCTTTAATGTGACCTATAAACTGTGCAACTCAGTTGAAAAACAAATTTAAATCTTTTAGGGGAAAACTAAAATAATGTGGTTGCATAAATGTGCACACCCTCTTACAGTTGCAAGAAAAAGTATGTGAACCCCTTGGGATTACGTGGAGTTTTGCATGAATTGGGCATAAAATGTGCTCTGAACATCATCTAAGTCACAACAATAGAAGAACACAGTCTGCTGAACATAATACTACACAAACATTAGATGTTGCCATGGTTTTATTGCACATAACATGTAAACCTTCACAGCGCAGGGAGGAAAAAGTATGTGAAGCCCTAGCTTAATGACTTCTCCCAGAGCTAATTGGAGCCAGGAGTGAACCAACCTTGACTCCAATCAGTGTGATGATATTGGATGTGTTGCTGACAGCTGTCCTGCCCTTAAAAAACACACACCTGTTTTGGATTTACTGGTTTCAAGAAGCACTGTCTGATGTGAACCATGCCTCGCAGAAAAGAGCTCTCAGAAGACCTACGATCAAGAATTGTTGACTTGCATGAAGCTGGAAAGGGTTACAAAAGTATCTCCAAAAGCCTTGATGTTCATGTGTCCACGGTAAGACAGACTGTCTACAAATGGAGAAAGTTTAGCACTGTTGCTACTCTCCCTAGGCGTGGTCATCCTGTAAAAATTACTGCAAGAGCACAGCGCAGAATGCTGCGTGAGGTAAAGAAGAATCCCAGAGTGTCAGCTAAAGACCTACAGAAATCTCTGGCAAATGCTAACATTTTTTTGACACATCTACAATAAGGAAAACATTAAACAAGAATGGAGTACATGGGAGGACACCACAGAGGAAGCCATTGCTGTCCAAAAAGAATATTGCAGCACGTTTTGAAGTTAGCAAAAGAGCACCTGGATGTTCCACAGCACTACTGGCAAAATATACTGTGGAAGATGAAACCAAGATTGAGTTGTTTGGGAAGAACACACAACACTATGTGTGGAGAAAAAAAGGCACAGCACACCAACATCAAAACCTCATCCCCACTGTAAAACATGGCGGAGGGAGCATCATGGTTTGGGGCTGCTTTGTTGCCTCAGGGCCTGGACGGATTGTTGTCATTGATGGGAAAATGAATTCCAGAGTTTATCAAGACTTTTGCAGGAAAACGTACGACCATCTGTCCGCCAACTGAAGCTCCACAGAGGATGGGTGATGCAACAGGACAATGACCCAAAGCATACAAGTAATTCAACAAAACAATGGCTGCAACAGCACAGAATACGCCTTCTGGAGTGGCCCAGTCAGAGTCCTGACCTCAACCCGATTGAAATGCTGTGGCATGACCTTAAGAGAGCGATTCACACCAGACATCCCAAGAATATTGCTACACTGAAACAGTTTTGTGAAGAGGAGTAGTCCAAAATTACTCCAGATCGTTGTGCAGGTAGCCACTGTGCTTCTGATCTGCAACTACAGGAAACGTTTGGTTGAGGTTATTGCTGCCAAAAGAGGGTCAACCAGTTATTAAGCCCAAAGGTTCACATACTTTTTCCTCCCTGCACTGTGAATGTTTACATGTTATGTGCAATTAAACCATGGCAACATCTGATGTTTGTGTAGTATTATGTTCAGCAGACTGTGTTCTTCTATTGTTGTGACTTAGATGACGTTCAGAGCACATTTTATGCCCAATTCATGCAAAACTCCACGTAATCCCAAGGGGTTCACATACTTTTTCTTGTAACTGTATAATTGTGGATGTAGCTGTGTTCAGAATTAAGCAATCACATTCACAGGAGATGCCCTCGCAATCTGACAGATTTGGAGTGTTTTTGCAAGGAAGAGTGGGCAAATATTGCCAAGTAAAGATGTGCCATGCTGATAGACTCCTACCCAAAAAGACTGAGTGCTGTAATAAAATCAGAAGGTGATTCAACAAAGTATTAGTCTAAGGGTGTGCACACTTATGCAACCATGTTATTTTATTTTTTTATTTTTACTTCCCTCCACCTAAAAGATTTCAGTTTGTTGTCCAACTGAGTTGTACAGTTTATAGGTTACATTAAAGGTGGAAAAAGTTCTGAAATGATTTATCTTTGTCTCATTTTTTTTTACATTACAGAAACCTGACATTTTAACAGGGGTGTGTAGACTTTTTATATCCACTTTATGTATAAATGTAAGTTAGGGACCATAGATTGTACGCCTCTTGAGGGTTCGAGACTGATCTGTACCTGAAATAAATAAAATTTAAAAAAAAATACTTAGGAAGATTTTCAACGATCTCTCGCAATTTGCTGTGCGATTTCCATTATATTCTATGTATTTGAAATTGCAACAAAACTGCAGAAAAAGTAGTGCAGGAACTACTTTAGAAATCGCACTGCAGCAAATCGCAAATGTTAAGATGCTGACATTCACATTTATTTATCTCAGGTACTTATATAACGCCATCAATTTACGCAGCGCTTTACATATATATTATACATTCACATCAGTCCCTAACCCTCAAGGGGCGTACAATCTAAGGTCCCTAACTCACATTCATACATACACATACTAGGGCCAATTTAGACAGGAACGAATTCACCTACCAGCATGTCTTTGGAGTGTGGGAGGAAACCGGATTACCCAGAGGAAACCCACGCAGGCACAGGGAGAACATGCAAACTCCAGGCAGGTGGTGCTGTGGTGGGGATTCGAACCAACAACCCCAGTACTGCCAGGTGGAAGTTCTAACCATTTAGCCACTTTGCTTTCATTAGATGTGATTTCAGATGCGATTTCAATTCCCAAATCACACCTGAGATTGCACCTGCTAAACCATTCTTACCCCATCAGAGAACACTGGCTAACCCAGAACAGGTCCTATCTGGTGTATTGGGCAATAAGTGACTGAGGAACAAAATAAATGTAATATACAGAACTCATGTCAGACTCAAATACATCTACACACAACAAAAGGTTTTAGATATTAGAAACTTAACTCCCTCTCCCTCCCACTCTCCCTTTCTTAAGAAACCATCATACCCTCTGGCGAGCCGTTTCTCACCCAACAGGTACTGCAGCTCCTCTTTGTCACCTCATTAGCTGTAAGGCTGTCCAATAAAGTCCGGGATTACTCCTGTTATACTGGCGGTGCCAAATACAGGGTTTGTTAAAATTGTACATATAATCTGTGTTTTTCCCCACATGCCCTTACTTCACAATAGTACACAGTAGTGACTTAGGGGGTCAGTGGACCAAAACACTGAGCACAGCATGGGACCAGGAATCTGCCACCCCTGTATATGTTGGATTGCACAAAAAAAAACACAAGTGATGTGCTGCCACATGCATATTGTAGCCACGCAATGTTTTCTTTTAGTGGCATTCAGCTCAATGCAGTGACAGCAATAATAACCCAGATCATATATTAACAACAACAACTCAGCATTAATAATAAATCAGGGATACCAAAATCAGCTTTGGTGTCAGTGGCAACAAGAATAACCTTCCCTCTTTTGCTGGTAGTAGCAAAAACAACACCCCTATCACTGGCAGTAATATTGAACTCACCTTCACTGGTGTTCAGTGGGGGGGGAAGCAAAAAAAAACCCCATAAAAACAAAACACACTTCTACACGTCTCCATTAGGATTTAGTTACTCACCTGAACAAACGCTCCTCCCTCCCAAATGACTACATTATACTGTCTCTTCATGCAGGAGAAGACTTACACGGGCAGTACTGGCACAATTACAGGGACAGCCATTTAAACGTAGCGAGTTGGACAGCCCTGTTCTAGGAGGTTGGCTGGGTAGCACGACTCAGGGGTGTAAAGCTGTACTTAACATTACACAGCACTGCCTATTACAGTTATATAGGTTTTTTGGGAAAATATTTAGTAAGCAAGTTGGTCAACACTGCAATACAAATGTGTACAAAAGTAGGATAATTTCTACATTGCACGTATGAGTTAATATATTTCTATCCCAGCCTGGCATTTTTGAGTACAATTTTTTTTCTTTCAGACTGTCTTTTAATAGGTTTTGTGAAGCCAAAAGGAAAGTAAATACAATTCTGTAACCACTTCAGTACAGTATTCAAATGAAATATTTGTATAAAAAAAGGACAAAGGAAAAAAGGACAACGTCTTGTGACAGATCCATTTGTTCACTTTAGTTATAGTAAGGTGGTACAGCTGTCTATTTCAACGCGCCCAGGTTCTGCACTACCTCGTCACAAAGAAAAAAAAAAAAAAAAAAAAGTATTTTCAAACAAGAAGAGCTCAAAATAAGCTCATGGTTTCAATCCTATGACTATTTACACAACAGCAAAAGATCTAGTAAGACCACGCTGTAGTAGGAGACATACCCATTTACAGGGATGCGAATGCACAAGCACCACTCCATTTGCTGAGCAAAATCATTTACTGCAGCATGAATTTACTCATTAACAAACAAGAGCTTCATGTATCTGCAGCCTCAACAGAACAGCAGTATGAAACAAAACAAAAAGTAATACAAGTGTGCCCCAAGGATAACACCCTTTGAACAGCTGTTCACATTCTACCAGGGAGGCTGTCGAGATTAACCAAATTTATATAAAAAAAAGTGAACACAAGTTGACATACTACACATTATTGATTCAGGGAAGCTCCAAAAATCTTTATAAATACAGCCATTGGAAGGACGATCTTGAGTCAGGAAGGTATTTTACTCGTGTGAGGCATAGCTGTCATAGCTGTCTCTGTAAGAGCTTCCTGAGCGATCACCATAACCTCCTTGACTCCTGCCACTGCCATAATAATCTCGGGATCCGCCACCATAGCCACCACTCCTGTTGTCATACCGGCTGCTTCCATAACCACGGTCACCACCACCACCTCTGTAGCCTCCTCTCCTGTCGCTGGGGGACTTTCCAGCCTGATCAACTCGAATCTGACATCCATCCACGGACATTCCATTCATCGCCTGCATAGCATCTTTCGCATCTTCTGGATTCTCAAATGTGACAAATCCGAAGCCACGTGATCGCTTGGTCTCCCGATCCTTCACCACAACCACCTCAGAGATTTGTCCATATTTGCAGAACACTTGTTCCAGACTCTGCTCGTTGGTATCAAAGCTGAATGAACCTTTCCTTCGTCAGATGACATGAGATCTTAGCTATGTACAGCGTACAGATCACCCAGAAATCAGCAATGCGAAGTGCCTTTTGAGTACAATCAACAAAGGAACTGGGGAAGGAAAGAGGAAAGTTGATAATGATACATGGGAATGGGGTGGGGTGGGGGGTTCGGAGATCAATTTAGGCTCGTAGGCATAAACACAGCAAATGCATTGCAAAATAGTTGTGCCATTTTATACGTGGTACTACAGCTATCTTATGACTTCTGTTCATGAGCTGCAGTAAACTGAAAGAGCGAAATTAAATCAGTGTCCCAGACATTATAGAATTTGATGCATTAGGCTTTACGAAGATGAACCCATCTCTCCACTTCCAGAATATCATTCAACTTTTTAATACATTTGGGGTTCAATGGAAGTTGATCCAGTATCAGTTGAGAGGTATTAACCCCTCTGTGGCATTAAGGTGGTCCTCAAGCCTTAAGGTTTTTCATCTTAATACATTCTATGCATTAAGGTGAAAAACCTTCTGTGCTGCAGGATCCCCCCCAGCCCCCCTTATATTTACCTCAGTCCTGATCAGATCCAGCGATTCGCACAAGAGCAGCATTTCTTGCTGCTGTCTCCCTCCTCACTGGGCAGAATGATAGCAGTGGGAGCCTTTGGCTCCTGCTGCTGTCAATCAAATGTTGTGATGAGAAAGTAGGAGGCAGGGCCAAGCTGCCCACTTTGTGTTAATAAAAAAGACAGGGTGGCTCGGGAGCGAAACCCGTACAAGTGCCCCCATAGAAAGTGGCTTTCTATGGGGGCACTCGCCAAACAGGAGGGGCCAGGAGCACAGGCAGGGGACCCCAGAAGAAGAGGATCAGTGCTATTCTGTGAAAAGCCACTTCACAGTTAAGTATGCCATGTTTGCCATTTTAAGTAAAGAAAAATGGAGCTTTAATGACATGTTAAGTTAAATAGGAGGTGACACCATATTTAGAGGGGCAAGATGAAAAGGAATTGGCAAGGGCTTGTCACATAGACGATGACATGTTATGTTGCTTTTTTCTCAGAGAATAGATCTGGAACTAGCCCTTTATAAGTCATCCCTTCTCTTCACCCCCTACCCACCTCTGAGCACCATTCCTTGGTTCCACCGCCTATCCACCTCACAGTACCACCCTTTTATAGAATACAGAACCAAGTATAATTTTGTAGTGTCAGTAAATTAGAATTGGTTAATGATGACAAAAAAAGCTGTAAAATAGATCTCCTGCAGCCCCCAACAATATCCCCCCCCACACACACATACGACAATAGATCCCCCAGCAACTTTGGATCACCTGCAACAAAACATACTCCCCCAGCAGAAACAACAGATCTCCCCACAGTCAGCATCAGTAGCCCCTCCAGCAGCCAGCAACAGTACAACAGTCTGGAGTAAAGAAAAGGAAAAGGGAGACATGGCTGAAACCTTTAAATACATCAAGGGGGTGAATAAGGTTCAGGAGGGCAGTATTTTTAGTATGAAACAAAAATCAAAAACACAGAGATATGAACTCAAACTAACTGGAAGAAAGTTCAAAACTAATTGTAGAAAGTATTATTTTAAAGGGCAATTGATGATTGGAATAAACTTCCAGCAGAGGTAGTGAGCCAGTCAACAGTAAGTGGCTTCAAACATGCTTGGGACAAACATAGATTTATACGCAGATAAAAAAAGTTAACAAAAAAAACAAGAAAAAAAAAACAAAACAATGTGTAGACTCGATGGACCGCTCTGTCTTTTCTGCAGTCATTCTTCTATGTTTTCTATAGAACCCACCCTCCACAGTAGATCCCTCCCAGTAACAATCCCCCCCCCAGCAACCATAGGCCTCCCCGCAAAAATGGATCTCCTCCAGCAACAACAGATCTCCCAGCAGCCAGCCTCAATAGACCCTCCAGTACACCCCAGCACCCATTTCCATTACATGCATTCAGTGCTCGAAGTGCCGGAACTGTGTTCCTGCTCAAAAAACGCACTGCTCCTACTGGATATGACGATGCATAGAGACCCAATACCAGTTGATTTTGGGACATTCCCACTATATGTGGAGCAACCTGCCATGAGTTACATAGGTTTTCATAAATCTAAATTAATATTTAGTATTCTGTTTTCTGGTAAAAAAAAAACTTTACTACAGACACACACAAACATACCAATTACCTTTAATCTTATCTCCAGGCTCAAATGTGGTTTTATCCACAGTTATATTATGAATGGCCTCTGTTCGCGGTACATGATCATGCAGAGGCTTCATGGAGCCGCAGGCTTGTGTTACTCTTCCATCTGGGTAGCTGTCCACCGGTGCAGTAGTGTATGTCAGAAGGCAAAGGACAAGGGAAGCCGCCCTTGGAGTCATCTATACAATGAAAGACACAATTAGTCCGGCAATTCTACCTTTTAGTTTGTATGACAAGGACTAATAACAGTAATAAGAGCTTGGTATATAGTAGTTTCATTGTGGCTCCAACAAAAAGACTGCTTGCATGACTCCTTTATAACATAGGTACTCAGTCAGAGGTAGGTGTACCCCCAGGGGTACCACAAACAGGCTTCTCCTTGTCAAATAAAATGCAGGTTACTGGCAAGAATGGGTAATAAATAACACACTTTATACAAGTAATCTTACATTTTTTACTTTGGGGTTATTCTAAAACTTTATTATGTCATAAAAAATCATTTGTAGATGTAGAAACTTGCTGCTCTACACCCTTTAGTCCTCATGCACACTGGATGTTTTTACAGCTGCTGTTTTTGGCTTTTGATGTTTTTTTCTACAGCCAGTAAAACCCCCCCCACCCCAGCATGTTATCCTATGTGTCCATGCACATAGACTGTTTTTTGGCAGGGGTGCTTTTTGGCTGGAAAAGAAACCCAGGACTAGTGGGTTTCTACAGGAGCATTTTAGCTGTAAAAACGCTCTAACGCTGAAAAAAAGCGGCAAATCGCCGCAAACCGGTGGGTTTTTTTTGGCAAAAAAAAACCCCAAAACGCTAGAAAACGCAAAAAAATGCAGCAAAACGCTAATGCAAAATCGCTGAAAAACTCACCGTGACTTTATACAGCTAATGTTACCAGCGTTATTAAAACGCCCAGTGTGCATGGAGCCTTAAAGTGAACCTGCGACTGCCAACAAATATCTAAATTGGTACTTAACAGAATGGGCAGCATAGGCCCACTTACATCTATGAGTTTAATTGCAGGACAGCGCATGTCAATAGGTTAGCAATTGTTTAAAATGCTGATCGATTGGTGGCGGTGACCCTGAGTACCAATGCAGTCCATTAAGTATGTGAACCTGACTTGAAGCAGAGCGAGTTTTAGTAATCTAGGAGATGCTTATGGACACGTCAACATGGTTTTCTCTCCACTTTAGGGCTCATGTACACTGCAGTTGATAAACTCACGTTTAGGAGTTGTTCTGTGTTTTTTTTCAGCAGCCCCTGAACTCTCCCCAATGTTTTCCTATGTGTCCATGTACACATCTTCGTTTAGTCGTTTACAGGCAGTTGAGTTTACAGTCGTTTTTTTTAATGCAGAAAACTTGCGTTCAGCAGTCAATTTTATCAGCGTTTCAAACGCAAAACACGGCTAAACGCGGCAAATTGCATTTCTAAGCATTTGTGTTTGAAATTTTTGTTTAACACTTCCAGTTCCCAATGCTGTCTAGAGCCTTTTTTCATCATGAAAAATGCATGCAAAGCGTTTTCAATGTACTCAGATGGACAAAACACTGAACACAGGATGTTCCTACCAAGCTTGTCACACATTGTAATGACCAATTCACACCTCAGGCCTCTCCCACCCTTGGAAAAAAAAGATATGTTAATAAATATTCACACCTCAAATCCCTCATGAAGACCCCCTGCCAGGTGACCTTAATGACTCACTCCACCAGACACCTATCCCAACCTTGGAAACAAAAGAAATGTTAATGAGCAACTCAAACCTAATTATCTCAACACATACTGCTGTCTCTGCTTCTACTGTGTGTATTTCTCTGAAACAGTCTGAAATAGTTAATAACTTACCACTTTTCAGTGCATTCTGGGCATTTGGGAGGTTCTCCTGTGCTTATCTTTAAAAAACGCACATAAACGCGTTATGCAAGCGCGGTTAAACAGACATTTTTTTAACCTACGTTTTCTAGCAGTCAGTTTCCATCATTCAGAAGTGTACATGGGGCCTTACTTTACTCCTGTTCTAAACAGAGTGTGTAAGGAAGGTTTTGTTGTATTTGTTTTTGCTTTTTTTATATGTACCTAAGCGAGCCAGTGCATGCCCGGTTGGCTTTGTTTTATACTTATATATGATGAAACTCAATTAAAAATAAATAAATAAAATGCTGATAGTTTACATGTGACATGTGTTGTTCATTTTTTGATGCATTAATGTATGCCATAGGACCTTTTAATGACATTGGCAGAGTGTGAAAACTAATGTTTGTTGATAATACATGTAAAAGTGCAAGAAAACACACAATAAAAGGGGTGAATCTGGCCTTACAGGTTTGTTTTGCTGCACACCCCCCCAGAAGCTCACACATCTCAGGCCTCAAGCACACAGGCACTTTTGCCCAATTAGCATAAAAAAAACAGGTGTACTCTGATGCCTGGGAGTCACAGCAAACAGTCCACTAGCAGGAATTCTTTGAAAACACACAGTGATGATGTGCTGCTGCAAGCAATACTCACATTCTGAGCTGTATGGACTCAGGGAAGTATGCCCCAAACCAGAATTTCTGCATTTAGGGCATGTGTCTCTGAACAGAGCACAGCTGCCACATTTTCAGCCAACCATTTATTTTGATAGGACATCACCTGTTGCGCCCGGAGCACTGGCATATGCTTTTTTTTTATACTATACAGGAAAAGCTCCTGTGAAATCAATGGCTAGGCTTCTGGTCATCCCCATCCTATCCGGTTTCGTGTGCTTTGCTAGTGGCACTTAACTGTGATGGAATTCCACTTTAAAATGT